GAAGGGATGCTTTTAACGTTCCCGTCTTGAAGATCACCAACTTGAGGCTTTACTAGAATATTGTGTTTAGTGTCCCCGTCTTGAAAAATAATCTCTCTGGGGACGCAAATATCTATACCTGTTCTGTAAGCCATAAGGAGAAAGTCTTCTTCAACGAGCCCTTCATCCCAAGTTCTGAGGTAAGGATCTCCTTCTTGCTATGGAGGAGCAACCCACATGTGTTAGAGATTCCTAAGCAATAAGACTCTCAAGGCGTTACAAGGTCCCGAATACTTAAGCATAAGGTGTGAAGGGATGTGTTTAACGTCTCTGCCTTGAAGATCACCGACTTGAGGTTTTACTAGAATACTGTGTTTAATGTCCCCGCCTTGAAAAAAAATACTACTCTCAAGGCGTTACAAGGTCTCGAATACTTAACCAACTTGAGGCTTTGCTAGAATACTGTGTTTAACGTCCCTGCCTTGAAAAAAAATACTACTCTCAAGGCGTTACAAGGTCCTGAATACTTAACCAACTTGAGGCTTTACTAGAATATTGTGTTTAACGTCCCCGCCTTGAAAAAAATACTACTCTCAAGGCGTTACAAGGTCCTGCATACTTAACCAACTTGAGGCTTTACTAGAATAATGTGTTTAACGTCCCCACCTTGAAAAAAAATACTACTCTCAAGGCGTTACAAGGTCCCGAATACTTAAGCATAAGGTGTGAAGGGATGTGTTTAATGTCCCCGCCTTGAAGATCACTAACTTAAGGCTTTTTCAAGGTCCCTAATGCTTAAATTATTCGCCCCTTCTTAACTACCCCTTTTTTTTCAAGTTTTATCTTCTTTCGTGCATCATCATAAGTAAATATTAACACTTTTTTTTTTGCAGTTTGAACAATGATTTTCTTCAAGGATTATACTTGCCCATCTTCTCAACTCAAATATCTCATCATTGGAACATAGGGTAGTACGGTGGAGACTAAGTTTTTGGTCCATGATTCTTTTGTTGGTCGTTATGTTGATCCATGGCCACAATTGAGGAACACGCTTCATATGAGAAGTTGGACATCCGAATACGATCACAAATCTAATAAAGCCTCAAAAGCGTGGTATCTTGAGAAACCAAATCCTCAACGTACATACATCGCGAGCACTCTTTCAAATTTAGGTCGCCACATGATTCTAGAGGAACTACGTTGGGGAGACAACATTGTGCTTGAAGGTGAATGTCACTGCATTCCGGGATACTGAGAATGGACATAAGATGTCTTAAGCAAAAATGGGCAAAGTCTAAACAATGCTTGTATTTCTGATGCTGTATTTTCTTCTCTTTTTACTTATGATCGAAACTCCAATATTATACAAGCCTTTTGTGAGGCTTGGTGCCCTCAGACAAATACATTACTTACATCTACCAGAGAAATATCCATATCTCTTTGGGACTTGCATATTCTAGGTGGTTTGCCAATTAGCGGAGTCCCTTACGAAGAAGTGATACCTAACTCCACGGAACTTACAGGTTTGGATGACAAGAGGGAAAGATTTCTTCCTCGAACTTGTGAGTGTATGTTTGCTGCCTTTCATCATCGTAAAGAGAAAAATAATGGTAATATGAGGGTCTCTTTTAATGAATGGATACAATTTTGGTGCAAGAAAGATCTCAAATATGAGCTAGCTCCTCCAAGGAAAGAGCAGAAATCTCGACGTCTGTCATCTACTCATAATCCAACAGGTGAGATACCTACTGAGATAAACACATGGTCAAGTACTCAAGAGATGGTAATTTCTAAGCTTGGAGCGAAACACCAAAAATATGAGACTTATCTGACGGCTTTTTTGTCATGTTGGTTATGTGCCTTTGTATTTCTGTCTGAAGAAGGGAATTTCATTCGGCCTGAAACTTTCAAGATAGCAAGCTTAATGGTGAGCGGTAAAAGGGTTAGTCTTGCGGTTCCGGTCTTAGCAAACATATATCATGGCTTAAATAAAATTTCAAATTCTTCACAGTTAGACCATATAAGAGTCTGTTTTCCCATCCACTATGTTTATTGTTGGCTTGCTTATTATCTCAAGACACACTATCTGCTTACTAGTGGACCTTCTCTTCTATGAATGGTGGTATATTCTGGGGAAGGTGCTGAAAAGTACTTTGACAAAGATGAGGCAACAAAGCGTGTTCATCAGGGGCAAAACATTGTAAGGAATGCCACCATGCTTAGTAAGTCTCACCCAACTTATTATATTGATGATGGAAAAGCACCAGAGTTGGAGCTAGCTTATTTTATGCTTATTTTATGAGCCTTCGTTTTAATTATCTTCCATTGAGGAAGGGAGGTTCCTTTGTCATTGAGCCATATAGTCCGCACCAATTTAGTCGCCAATTTGGTTTTCATCAAGATATTCCTGGCTATTTAGAAAATGATATTCGTGCTGAGTCGCTCGATGAAGGCCTTAGATATTGGCGCATTTGCGTATCACGTGAAACTATGTCTAAAGTGACATTTCCTCATGCGGTAACTTCCGCAAAGAAGCTTTATACTACCCAATATTCATCTTGGTGGGAGAGATCCTATGGAATGGTTCTTGAGGATAATTTGGATGTTATGGTGGAGAAAGTTGGGTCAGAATTTGTTACCCTTTTAGAAGACAAAAGTCAAGATATCGAGAAGACACTTTCAAAAGTCAAGACACCACTTGATCCCCAACATCAAGGTAAGAAGCTTAGCTCCTCTAAGGTATCTAAGAAAGAAGTAGTTCATACTTCTACTGATAAAGAAAAATGTCCCCAATTTCTCTTCTCTAGTAAACGGGACCTTCAAGAAACAAACAAAACTAGCAAGGATCGATGTTGGAAGAGGCAAAGGGTTAAACCATCCGGGGCTGAAGTTGTTGATTTAAGAGTCGTAGAAGTTCAGAGTGTCGATAGTCCTTCAAGATCAATGACAATTTAGAGTGACAAGGTTTACTTTTTTTTTTTTTGAATAAAATGACTTGGCTAACCCACCATTTTCACTTGTAGGTTAACGCTGCCAGACATCCACTAGGGTCGCCACATGAGATGCCACAAGTTAGCAATGAGTCTACTGCAATATCAAGACCTAAGGCAAAATCAATTTCAAATATTGAGCAAGAGCAAAAGATATCATCTACTTCTCGTGGCCAAACTTTAAAAGGGTTGACTCTTAATTCAAATGAGATTTCCTGAGTTCTTCCAAAGAGTAATGGAGCTATGTCTGTCTTCGAAGGAGAAGGTGTTGTGTTCAACCACAAAAGGAAGTACATCTTGGGTCTTTGGGAAGAGATTTGTGGAAAACTTTCCAGAACTTCTCTAGACAATATTTCATCTTACAAAGATGATATTTGTGAGATTTTCAAGGAGATGAGTAAGATGAATTTATTAGATCTTTCACCATTGAAGAGCTTGGTAGATTCTCTTTTTGATCATGCTACTTCTTATGATCAAGAACACTCTAATTTTGTTGACAAGGTGCATGAAGATAAGAAGATGGAGTTGATTTCCAATGCCAAAGAGCGTCTCGAATTGTTCAAAGTAGAAGAGGGTGAGAAGGCAAAACATGTTTCTTCTAACAAGAAATCACTAAAGAAGGTTAAGCGGAAGCTAGCAACTTTACAAGGAGAGCGATAGGGACTTGAAGCTGTTTTAGAAGCTGCTAAGAAGAAGGTTGAGGAGATTCAAGCCAAGATTTTAGCTACAGAAGATGAGATATCCTAGTATGAAAATATGAGTTTATTAACGCTTGAAGATTCAATTCGTTTGGAACAGAAAAGAGAGTGCTTGGAGGCTAGTCGTCAAGATTTGACTAACTACAAGTTACGCTTAGATTAGGCTTTTTCTTTGTGCTTCCCTTTTTTTGTTTTCTATAGCATTTGATTGATGTTTTAGACAATTTTATAGTAATGAAGTTCTTTCTTTTTCTTTTTTATATCATGCATTTTTATTGCATAATCCAATTTGAATTTGCTCTTTAATTCTTGATCCCAAGCTTTTAGTAATTCAAAGTCATTCCATATTTTGCATGCCAATAAGAATGAATATAGTGCAAGTTCCACATTGTTTTTTTTTAAAGTTTGCACATTCAAACTTGCCTTATCAATTTAGTGGAATTTAATTCCTCAACTTGTAACAAGTTTTAGGGCCTTAACTTGTAAATTCATAGAATTCGAAGATATTGACTTGTAACTTGGTTGATTTAAGAGTCTAACATGCAAACTTGTAGGACTTATCATATTACTTTGTCGGATTTGAAGACTTCAACTTGTATATATAGAGGATTCAAATACTTCAACTTGCATACTTGTCTGAATTTAAAGACTTCAAGCCTACTGTCAAAGAAGCTCATATTTCATAAGGGTTTGCCCCCATCTATTGACCATTCAATACTTCGTACAAGTCTACAATTTGATGAGACAAAAGATAAAACAAAATACTTATCGGTTTGACTGACATGTGACAGATCAAGTGGGAACATATGGTTTTTTGACACTCATGCAACTGAACTTAGGATATATTCTAAGCGCCTACGTACCTCGGTGAAGAGGATCAAGTCACAACGTAGTTCTGGGGGATTGAGTGATTTTTTGTTGTTGTTGTGTCGTACACATTTTATACTCTTGCGGGCTAGGAGTGACATGCATTTTAGGCTCGTACATTAAGGAGCATCATCTTACTTCAAGGGTAGTATCTCTTTAGGAATTTTGCATTAATAGGACCGATCCTTATGCCATCTGCATTAACAAGCTTGTAACCACCATGTGAATATGCTTCTTGTACAACATACGGTCCATCCCACTTTGAGGTAAATTTTCCCCTAGACTTGTGCAAAGTAATGATGGGTCTTCTTACTGCGAGAACTTGGTCTCCAACTTGGAAACACCTCAAGCGAACTTTCTTATTGAAAGCACGAGATAGACGAGCTTGATAACATTCAAGGTTTTGTTGGGCTTCTAGCCTCTTTTTGTCAAGTGCTTCTAACTCAGCAAGACACAGTCGAGCATTTTATTCTTCAGTGAGCCTTTCTTGAATAGCAAGTCTTAAGGAAGGTATTTGTGGCAGGACTGCTTCAACTCCGAAAGCAAGTGAATATGGTGTTGCTTGAGTTGGTGTGCGGTATATTGTCCTATATGCCCACAAAGCTTCTTCCATTCTTTCATGCCAATCCCGTTTGGACTTGGAGACAACTTTCTTCAGGAGGTTGCATAGAGTCTTATTGAATGCTTCAACAAGACCATTGGTGGCAACATGATACATAGAAGATTTATGCTGCTTGAAGCCAAGAGATCACAAATTTTGTTCATTAACTTGTTATCAAATGGCTTGCCATTGTCCGTTATTATGTAGCGAGGGATGCCAAAGTGATAGATAATATTCACTCGGATAAAATTTGCAAAATTCTCTTTCTTCACTTCTTTAAGAGCAACGACTTCAGTCCATTTTGGGAAGTAATCTGTTGCAACCAATATGTACAAGTGTCCAACATAAGATTTTGGTAGTGGTCCCACAACATCCAATCCCCAAGCGTCAAATGGCCAAGATGCGATAGTTGGGTGCAATACTTCAGGCGGCTGATGTATGAAATTTGCATGAAATTGACAAGCATCGCACCTCCGAGCATAATCTAAGCAATACTTCACCATGGTTGGCCAATAATACCCCATCCTCTTTATGTGAAAGTGGAGTTTCGGTCCAGATTGATGTGATCCACATACTCCTGAGTGTGCTTTTGCAGAGCTTGAATTGCTTCTTCCTCTCCCAAACATCGCAATAGTACACCCTCAAATGATCTTCTATATAATGTGTCCTTGTAGTAAAGGAAGCGAGTTGCACGACGACGAATGTCAGTCCTTCTCCTTGGATTTTCTGGAAGTATCCCATAACACATGTAGTCAATAATGGGTTGTCTCCAATCTTCCTTTACGGCTTGAGAAACGGCAACGAGATGCTCAAGCTCATTTTCTATATATTCTTCCTCATGTGACGGTGATACTATCCATCTTTGACAAATAGTAACTTGTGTTTGATCAGGAATGGTTAGCGTTGAAGCCAGGGCAGCCAATGCATCAACTTTCTTATTTTTCCATTCTACGCACATGTTGAAGGTTTACATCTCCAAGACATCCTATCAATTTTTGAGCATAGTAATGATAAGGACGCAATTCGGGCTTCTTCACCTCATAACTTCCCAAGAGTTGGTTGATCACCAACTGAGAGTCACCAAAGACTTGTAAGTGTAATTGCTTCATATCGACGTGCATCTCAAGTCCAAGTATCAATGTTTGGTATTCAATGACATTATTAGAGCAACATTGCTTCAAAGTAAAGGAGAATGGTAGAATCTCTTCTTGCGAAGTGATGAATAGTACGCCAGCGCCAGCTCCGCCACGACGTGCAGCCCCATCAAAGTGCATTTTCCAAGGATGTTGAATTTCAATAGACATCGCATTTTCATCAGGAAGATCATCAGTTAATTCCCAATTGTCGAGTATTGGATGGTCTGCCAAGAAATCCGCTAATGCTTGTCCCTTCACAGCTTTCTGAGGGATGTACACAATTTCAAACTGTTGGAATTGTAGGTACTATCTTGCTAGTCGATCACTAAGGATAGGTTTTGACATAACAAACTTGAGGGGATTTTCTCCAGAAATGAGGTGAACAACATGCGCTTGAAAATAATGCCTCATCTTTTGAATTGAGAAGACAAGTGCCAAGCACAACTTTTCAATTGGCGTATAGTTCAGCTCATTCGGTGTCATCGTTCTACTTAAGTAATAAAGAGCGTTTTCTTTGCCTTCACTATTCTCTTGAGCTAGTAGGGCTCCTACAGACCATTCTTGTGCCGCAATGTAGAGTATCAATGGCTTTCCAGGTATAGGGGCTGCCAAAATCGGAGGTTTCGCCAGATACAATTTGATACTTTTAAAGGCATCGCTACATGTTTGATCCCAATTAAAAGGAGCACCTTTCTTCATGAGATGACTGAATGGTTGGCATCTTCTCGCTAGATTTGAGATGAATCTCCTCAAGTAGGTTAACTTTCATTCAAGACTTTTTAACTCATGAATATTTCGAGGCTTAGGCATCTTCGATATTGCATCAACTTTGGCTTGATCAATTTCAATTCCTCGATGCCTCACAATAAAGCCAAGGAACTTGCTAGAAGTAACAATGAAGGCACATTTCAATGGGTTCATCCTTAGTTGATATCTTCGGAGTAACTCAAACACCATTCTAAAGTCTTTCAAATGATCACCCCTCTTTCTCGACTTTACCACCAAGTCATCAACATATCATTCAACATTTTTATGGAGCAAGTTATCAAATATATTTTGCATAGCCCTTTGATATGTGGCACCAACATTCTTTAAACCAAATGACATCACTTTGTAGCAATAAATACCCTTAGGCATGCCAAATGTGGTGAGTTCTTCATCCTTTGGAGCCATGCAATTCGATTATAGCCAGAAGAACCGTCCATGAATGACATTGCCTCATAACCAATGGTGGCATCAATCATCAGCTCCGAAATGGGAAGAGGAAACTCATCTTTAGGGCATGCATTAGTAAGATCTCTAAAGTCAACACATACTCGAATTTGACCATTCTTCTTCCTTACAGGAACAATACTTGAAATCCATGTAGGATACTCACGAATAAATCATGCCTCGATGAGTTTGTTAACTTCATTTTCTATCAATGGAACCACGTCTGACCTAAAGCGTCTTTGAGCTTGCTTAACAGGACGACCATTTTTTACTGCCAACTGATGGACCGCTACTTTAGGATTCAATCCAGACATTTCTTTATAACTCCAAGCGAAGACATCCCTATATTCTTTGAGTATATTCATATAAGTGATTTCTTCATAAACTTCTAGAAAGGCACTTAAGTAAGTTGGCCTTGGGTCTTCATCAGTGCCAAGGTTAACTTCTTTCAAAGGATCTATTGTGGTCTTTACTCCTTCTTCAAGTTCCGGTGGAGCATCTCCAATATCTTCCTCTTCTAAAGGATCATTGTCATTGACAGATATATGACAACACCAAACAATATCTTCTAACTCTTCATCAATTTTCATTTGAGGCAAAGAATCGTACTCATTTTGGATTGTAATATGATTTGAGGAGCCTACACTTTCTTCATCTTTCTCGCGCTCCTTAGTGTAAACCATAGTGTGAACCTTTGCCTTGAGTTCCTCTTTACATGAAACTACAAGTTCCACTCGTCGCCTCATTCTAGAAGGAATTGAACTTTTGAAATCCTTTCGAACCAAATGTGAAGCAGGCGTTGTAACTTTTAAATAACTTCTCAGATTCTTATTTTTCTTCGATGAACCTAACCTCTCAAATACAGAAGTTCTTGCAGTAGATTCTCCAAGTCGATCAAAGATGGGAGGCTTTTTGTTGGAAGTAGCGACATCATCTTCAAAAGTTATATGGTTGTTGCTTGCCCTTCTTATGGAAATGCGAATTGGCAGCGGTTGGCTATAGCCTAGGTCTTCACGTGCTTGCCTAGTTGTATCTTCTGATACAAGTTTCCCTAACATTGATGGCTCATTAGGGTTGTATCCAGCCTTCACAAATAACTTGTAAGCATTGGGGTCAAAACCTTCTCTTGTTCGTTTTGTAGGGAGCGCCACATCTCGCACTTGATTTTGAGAGATTGACTTTTCTGGCAGCTTTGAAGACAAGTTTATTGCATCAATCCATCTGATAGGAAAAGTTAGCCCTCTCAATACATTTTCCAGAAGGTTAGATGATTGAACTTCTTCTTTCTTCACTTTTGGAAGATAGCAAAGTCTAGAAGTCAACTTCTTCTTTGAAGACATGATCTTCCCTTCATTAAGAATGGGAGAAAGTTCTTTAGCGTCAACGTTTACCTTTTCGATTGCCGCATCGATTCTTTTTCTTATGACCTTATCAGACATGATTGGTTTTACATCATTAGATTTGGCCCCTTTAACAACATAACTTTTCAAATCGAATTTCACATCGGCAAAGTGTGTCTCAACTTCGGTGAAAGGATTATCATCTGCAACTATCTTCCTTTCAATACCGCCTTCAAGATACTTCAAACATTGATAGTAAGAAGATGAGACAATTCTATTCTCATGTACCCAAGGTCTGCCAAGTAATATATTGCATGACGTCTTTGCGTCGATCATATGCATCCATGCGCTTGATCGCAAATATTCCATGTGGATCTCTAATTTAATAGAGCTTATGGACCTCTGCCCCCTTGATTAAATCCTTGTATCAACAGACGACTTTCACTAAGTTCTCCAATCGTGATGCCGAGTTCCTTCAATGTGTGGATAGGCAGAATGTTGACTCCAGATCCTTTATCTATTAAGATTCTATTTATCTTCTTCTCTAGCACGTGACCCGCCATATACAAAGGACGATTGTGTAGTGTTTCACCGAATAAAAGATCATTATCTGCAAATGTGATTTTTGTATCACATGCATGTGCTTCTTGGGAAGAAGGTTCAATAGGTGTTTCAGAAGGTGAAAGAGACATCATTGACGAGATTTCCCTTATTGTCTTTACATCGTCATTAGGAGGCACGTTTGGTGAGGATTCACTCGTTGTTCCTTCTTTGTCAGTAGGAGGCACCTTTATTGTTTCTGCTTTATCAGCATTGAAATATGATGCCTCAATATTGTCTTGAGTAGACTTTATGTCGAACTAACTTGGTAAGAATTCCTCTAGAGTCACAGGATGTCGATGTTTTTGGTAGTGATGCACTTCTACCTTTGCCCTCTTTGGGCGCTTAATTGATTTCTGCTTCTCCAATTTCTCCACCATTTTCCCTCTAATCGGTTGCTCGGATGATTCTTTTCGTAAGCTTGACTTGTTGCGTATTCGCCTAGTTACAAGAATCCAGCCTTCGTCACCATCTATATCAACTTCCTGCTCCAATGACTCTTCGTCATGCTTTTCAGAGATATATATTTGGACCGGATGGAGTGAGCCGAACGTGATAGAGATCTGGTTAGAACTAGCCTTCTTATCATCAAGGACAATTTTCTTTTCGTTAACCAATCGCATCACTCTATCCTTGAAGACAAAACATTTTTCGAGAGGATGACTCACAAGTCTATGATACTTGCAATAATTTGGGTCATCAGCTTTTCCAGTTTCATCGGGTCGCTTCATCTCTGGCAAGTCAATGAGCTTTAACTCAAGCAACTCATCAAAAATCTCAGAAACGTCAGAATCCAAGAAGGGATAATTTTATCCTTGCATCTCCCTTAGTGTCGACTTTTGATTTGAACGTGCTTGGAAAGCTGTTCTCACATTTTGCTTCATGCCCTCATTCGTAGTGATCTTCGTAGGCGACACATTAACATTCATGGATTCTTTATTGTCATTTCTAGGCACAAATTCAATCCATCTCTTGGATTCCTGCTTGTTGCTTCCTTTGCGAGGGTCTCGGACATATGTCATATCTTTTCCAGCAGAGGACATGCTTAACTCCATATCATGAGCGCGAGTAGCTAGATCTTTGAAAGAGTTTGGTTTTATTCCTTGTAAGATGTAAAGAAGCTCCTAGTGCATTCCTTGAATACACATTTCGATTGCAGAAGCTTCACTAAGCCTATCCTTGCAATTTAGGCTCGTGTTCCTCCATCGATTTATG